AATGGCTGAGGAGAGAAGAGTTGCTTGATTGTCCATCCTCTGCAGCTAGCTGTGCCTGTTTCACAAGGGGAAATGCAGGTACGCCTTGGAGGGTCCAAGCAATAGGAGGATTGTGGTTTTTTATGTACAAAAGGCTTCGTCTACCGGCTTCTCCGGCTTCTACCGTCCCATCCCACCCGGCTTATTGGTATGCAAGTCCAACATTCAGATTAGGTAAATGTGCGCCTTCGTTTCTTTGATGATACAAGCAGCCGATGATCCCGAAGAACGTCGAAATGAGCGCACTGTCAAGCAGTTTGTGCCAACTAGAGGAGAGATCGCATCTACTTGGTCTCCTCGCGCAGCCAGCTGGTAAACAGTCAGTACAAGTAAAAGAGTACATTGCCATTGAGGCTCAAGGGGTACTAACGTGATCAGGTCGTTCCTGTCCTTGCCCTTCTTGAGGCCACCGAAGGCCATCTTTGTGCCGGGGATATATTTCTTGGGGTTCTCGAGGTATTCGAACTGGACAGAGGTCAGCATCGACTATAACTATATGATTCGACGTAATGAACTCACCAGAGTATCCTCCTTCCACGTAATACCCTTCTGCTTGTTCGCATCTGTGTATGAGAAGCCCTCGACGGAGCCAGTCTTGCGGCCGAATAGACCGTGCAAGTTAGGGCCGATCTTGTTGCCCTCTGATTCAACGACGGAGTGACATTGCGCGCATCTCGTCTTGAAAAGGTTGGCACCCTTCTTGACGTCACCTGGAAGAAGCGATTGTGAGCTTATATTCTTTGCGTCTTGTTGCTCAGATTTCTTTGCAGTCTTGTTCGCAGCAGCTTCCTGTTCTTGCCGGTGTCGGGTCGCTTCAAGCTCGTCGAGCTCATGCGGGAGGTAAACCAAGTATGACCAAGCCATTGTATCGACAACCTCAGATTCTAGTATGGGGGACTGAGAACGTGGTGGTTGTATCGCGCTGTGATCGTTCGGTCATGGTATAATTGTTGGGACAGAGGCTTCCCAGCTTGAAGAAGAGCTGGAAAGCGGCGCCGAGCAGTCATGCGACTCGCAGTGAGGCTAGGATGTGATACAAGGGTGCGAAGTGTGACCGTTTGACAGGTAAAAGCGTTGCGTGAAGCTGCTGCGAAGCTGTAATGGCCGTGAAAGCACAGGATGCACTTACCCTCCTTGAAACCGTCGTCACCCTTGGCCATTTTGAGAACACCGAATAGTCTGAAGTAAAGAGAAAACTGATATGAGGACGGCTGAGGTAGCTCTAGGGAATAAGATAGCTTGGATGGTTGTTGTCAGAGCAAATAGTGAAGATGTTGTTCGGAGCAAAAAAGTCGAAGGGGAAGCAAGAAAAGAAAAAAGGTGACGCCGATGAACGACAGACGAGGACCCGAATCCACCACAATCCACTCGCCAGTCATTTTGCCCACTCTGCCACTCAAGCCATTCCACAGCGACCTATTGTGGCTGTTCCACTGGTTTTCTTCCGGACAGCCACCTGCGAATCACGATGCGGCTTTTGTCATCGGCAATTTTCGGGACTCCAACTCACTCAGCGCAGGCTGCGCAGGTAACAAGTCGGAACACAACACCAGCTGCACTCTCGCTCAAGAACCCGTGCCTGAGCCAATTTATGTTTCTAAATTTCTCCCCTGGGCCTGCCTTCTTGATTCCAGATTCGAACACTGGATCAGTTGATCCAAGTGCTCTACATGGTGCCCACAAGCTCCCAACACAGAATGGCAGCCAAAGATGCCCTACGAGCTCCCAAGCTCTCCCCAACAAGGAAGGACCTTAGTCCCTAAAATGAGATCAATGACGTCGGCGTCTGGCTCGGAAAAACGGCTGAGGTACATTTAATATCTGCGGTAACTGCTCCGGTGGCTGGACTATCGCCACAATAGCTGCGCCGAACCGCGGCAGCCTACTACTTCCTGCGTTACATCCTATTACCCGATCGTGGCCATCCAACAGCAGCAGTTGGGAAAAACACTACCTGGGATTGGCCCCTGGTTGATAAAGCCTCAATTGGGTAAAGCCGAACATGCTCAAATTCTCCCGTCACTTCTGCAACGATGCCCAGAACTCGTCAAGGAGCTCGTGCCTCTTGACGGCGAGATCAAAGTCGCCGTAGGGTTCTCCTGCAGCATATGCTTCATACAACCGACCAATGTTCTGACCTTGCGTTGGTAAGTCTGTCCATTCCTGCCCACCTTCGTCCACGATGATTTCCTCGACGACTCCTTTCTCCGCATTAGAGAAGAGTATATTGGTTGCCTTGGCAATCTGCGGTCCAGCACCGGCGAATTCCACGACTAGTTCGCCTTTGGTGCCATATATCCTCCAAGTTGATCCTGGGTGATCGATGAATCTGTCTCCGGCTCTCAGATGGAAACTGAATACAGCAGACGGATGTCGGTCCAGGCGCCCTTGAATAAGGATTTGGTCGGGCGTGTCTTTGTCGTAGAGCTCTTCCGACAAGGATCCGTCAGATTTCATAACGTGCATTCTCGGCCGCAAATTGACCGCCATAGGGGTGTAACTCCCAGGTTTCAATTCTCCCACCGCATACAGGATGGAGTCGAGGATGTGGCCGCCATATATGGTCAACAAATTGCCGCCGATTCTGCGATCCATGAAATATTGATATCTCTCGCTCGCTGCATTATTTTGCCACACGTGAATTGCCGCCTGGTAATTAACACTGTGGATTTCTCCTATGGCTCCTGTATCGATGAGCTCCTTTACCTTCTTGACGCTGGGTGCCACACGACCCTGGAGGCCGACAATGGTCTTGATATTCTTCTCTCGAGCAACAGCTGCCATCTCCTTTGCCTGCTCTGTCGTTGCAGCGAGAGGCCATTCCACGAAGACATCACGGCCTGCTTTCAGAGCCGGCATGGCGACATCATAGTGAGTGTCAACTCGCGTTGACACCACGTATAAGTCAACATCAGGGTCGGCGGCGAGCTGGTCGTACGAGTCGTAGGCTTTGGTGGACTCGGGAAGATTGTGTGCTTTGATGGCTGCTTTTGTGGATTCCAGGGTCGTGTTGCACAGTGCCACGATCTTGAAATTCGGAGAGCTGGCCAGTCGAGGTAGATGGGCCAGAGGTGCCCATGTGGTCGGTTTGCTTGACAAACCCACGATTCCCACGCGAATGGGAGCCATTGCAACAATTAGTTTAGGGGGTGCACACTCCACGGCAGGTGACAATGTACAGAAGGACTCGCAGATTTCGTCAACCTTAGATATGTAGGGAAGCTGTGTACCTTGGATGGTGCAAGGTCTGCCGGTGTATTCGGAAGCAGACTTGCTCTCTATAAGTCGATAGACGTCGAGTGAGGGTGATATTGGTAATATAGAGTCTCGCAGGTGTTGCGCACTGGATGCCTAGACATCTATTCAGTGGCTGACAAATCGGCCTTTGTTTGTCTGACTGCGATTTTGTTGTTTGTCGTTGGCTTCCACATTGCGTGCTCAATCATTTCCCGCGGTCTGATTCCACCATAAACACATAGACAAGGACATGATCCTTTTCGTATGTGAGAGACGCCTCCAGCTCTATACTCGGAAACAGGCGAGATTGCCTCAGAGCCAGGTGCACTTGGTACTGGCCCTATCACTGGTGGTTGGAGCAGATCTTCCACTCACCCAACGCTCCAGGTCAGAGTCAACTTCCACGGGTAATGCAGCTTCTCGGTGGACTGCGTTCCTTCAAGCCATCCTAGTCCATCTGGTCCCTTTCATGTCCTGCAACTCAATTCCTGGTTCGTAGGATGCGTTCACATCAAAGAGGAGGAATTGCTTGACTTTTCATCGCTTTACTTTGCTTGGGGGGACGCCTACAGACGCCGTATGCGACGAATCATGGTCTCTATGGCACGGTAGCATAGACAAGAGAAGCAGGAATGTTGAGACTTTCCCACGATCACCAACTCTTACATTTTCCCTACTTATGCGAGTCGCGACAGTGTCAGCCGAGTCCTTATCCTTAACGAAAGGATTCAACAGCCATGTCAGCTTCGAAGGATTCGATACGAATCTCCCCTATCAGATTGAGAGGGCTTGTATAGCCTTGTCGACTCGTTGCCCTTTCTGGCATGGATGCAGGGCACACCTTGTGGTCTTTACAACCACGGGAGGCCTTTTCTTTTAAGGCCACCTCCAGCTTCGTTCAAGCCGATCTCCATTGCTCTCCTCTCTGTGGGTTGTTTTGACGAGTTCCCTCTATACCATGCCGAGCTCTCAGTACACAGCGTCGATCTCAGTTGCGCTTTTCTTCTCCTTCGTGGTCTGGCTCGTCTCCTTCTCCCTGAAATGGCGCCGACATCGTGCCAAGTATCGACATCTACCATGCCCACCTCACGACTTTTGGTTGGGTCATTTGAAGATCATCGGCATGGTGAAAAGGGAGATGCCACCTGGATGTAAGTCCTCCGTTGAAGTCGCCATCTTCGAATGAGCCTTGTCAAGTTTCCTGTTTGGACGATCTGGTTTTGAGTGGCGTGCGGCTCGGCGAACAAGGACACTGACCACGCTAAGTCCATTATCATGCATTGATGTACTATATCGGTGAAAAGTACAAGATGCCACCGGTATTCTACCTGGACTTGTGGCCGATCAGCAACTCGTTGATGCTTGTCCATGATCTTGATGTGGCCCACCAAATCACCCAAGTCAGGAGCCTTCCCAGCATCCCGTCAATTCCAAGGTGTTGGGACCTTTGGTTGGCTCACATTCAGTCGTGAATGCGGAAGGGCAAGAATGGAAAATGCTTTGGTCAATCCTCAATTCAGGCTTCTCAGCCCAGTATCTTTCGACGTTGGTTCCTCTTCTCGTCCGACATGGCCTCGTCTTCAAAGATCGAATATCCGCCTATGCCTCGGCCGGCGAAGTATTTCCAATCAAGGACACGGCCATGACCCTGAAAATCGACGTGATCGGCGAGGTGGTGCCGGGGAAAGAATTTCGACTCTCAGCGCCAACCGAACGAGTTGAAAATGCACTTCAACAAGGCGGTCTCCTGGGCAGGACCGAGCATGGACGTCATTTCTTGGAATCTAAGCAGACCTTTCAAATGGTGGCATTGCGTACAACAGGACCGAATCATTGAGAAGATGATCTGCGAAAGACACGCCGAGACGAGGGCCACGGATTCTCCCGGTACAAAAGCTGCCGTAGATCTGTTCCTGCAGGCATATCGCGAGGAAAAGATGGGAGCATCGGGCAAAGGTGGACGCAGGACAGACAAGCTTGATCCGGAATTCCTGAACCTCGCACGCGACAATGTCAAGACCCTGCTTCTGGAGAGCTACGACAGTAAGAATTGCCCTGCCCTCTTTCTGCCTACTGGCGCTGTCGTCAGACCCACCTTTCGCTGCTCGTGGTCGATTCAACTTGGCTGACCAAGATATCTAGCAACTTCATCCTCAATGGCCTACACTCTGGCCCTCCTCTCGGAACCCGAGAACACCCATGAACTTGCTCGCATCCGCGCTGAACACGACGTCGTGTTCGGCCCAGACCCTACCGAAGCTGCGGCCATGCTCCTCTCCGATCCCCGACTACTTAACAACCTCCCACTCACGACCGCCGCGGTCAAGGAATCCATGCGCCTCTTTCCCGCAGCGAGCACCACGCGCACAACCATGCCCAACCATCCGGCCCAGACAGTGTCGTTCAGGAGCCAACAGCTCCCACTCGCAAGCCAACAAATCTGGCTCGCGCACTACGGCTTCGGCCGACGTGGCGACCTGTGGCCCGAACCCCGGAAATTCGTCATCGACCGCTTCATGCCTATGTCTGGCGAGACATCACCACCTCCACCCTCCAAAGGACGCATGGCGCCCGTTCGAAAAGGGCTCGCGCGGCTGTCTGTCTCGGCCTGGAGCTGGCCATGATGGAGCTCAGGCTAATCCTAGTCCTACTATGCCGCGAATTCGACTTTGAGATTGCCTACGCGGAAGACGCGCCGCGGCCTCACCGAGAGCACGGCGTCCGGGGCGGAAGGGGCTATCAGATCATCGACTTCGCCGCGAAGCCCTTGGGGCATATGCCCGTGCGAGTTCGGCGGAGGGAGAAGATTCAGTGACTTTGTGTTTTGTGTTTTTGGGGGGCTGGGGAGACATAGGGGAAGGTTACTCCTCTATGAGATACAGAAGTTTGCCGAGTGTAAGCCAGGGCCGATCGGATCAGATATGATCGCACGTAGCTGGTAACACGTAGCCTACCCTCGCAGGAGCGTATTCGAAGAAGTGCTAACATCACATGCTGAGCCGGCGCAGCTTGCTAACTTAGTGTCCTCTATCAAAATGAGGACTGCGCAGAGAAAAGAAACCTACTATGCACGAGTGAGGTGACACAAGGGACTATGAAAGGGAAAAATCAGAAGGTTGTTTTTTGAGCCCCTTTTCATCGTCTGTCTGTCTAGACAACTTTGTCCGTCTCGCTCGCTCGTAAACCTGAAACCTCCTTTGGGTTCGATTCTTCTCTTCTCTCAATTTCTTTTCTGTCCGTTTATATCACAGATGGTCTGTCTCCTCAAGTCTTGATACCCGATTTTTCACAAAAGAAAATCTCATGCACAGTGTCATCACGCATACATCCATGTATTTCTCACTCTTGCTTGTAGCCTTACTATGTAGAGTCACTGGGCTAGGCTGTCTCTCGCACATTTTCCGTAGCACTTGTCGCAAGAAGGTCGTTCATAGTTGAGCTTTCGCCTTGCTCGCGGTAGCAGAAGCGGCTAGTCAATGCACCCCGTTGTGTTGTTTGGCCGTGTCGTCAATCTCGCAGAAGGCCCTGAACGTGACCATCTCGTCGGTCGCACTTTCGATGACCAGTTCCGCGGTCGCGCCCACAAAGTACACCCAGCCTTCCTTGAAGTCCTCCGTCTTGGGGCCGACGCTGATCTTGCCCTCGCCGCTCGTGCAGATGACGATGCTGGGGCCGGCGATCCCTTCGAAAGTGGCCTTGGCGCCAGGTTTCTTGAGCGCCGTACGCACGACGCTGAATTCCTCGATCGGGGGATCGTACAGCAACGAGTCGCTGCCAGAGCTGTAGGCTTTGTCGTTGAGCGTGACGTACGGGTAGTCGACGGGTTGGAGGAGCTGTTGCTCGGGTGGATCGTGGTCGTAAGTCAAGATGTCGGTCAAGGTGTTGACGTCTTGGAATTTGGGCGTGAAGCCAGCGCGAATCACGTTGTCGCTGCTCGCCATGCACTCGATGATGTCGCCCGAGATATAGGCGTGGATGTCGTCTGCCTTGAGGTACATGGCCTGTCCGGGTTGGAGTTTGACGTAGTTGAGGAAGAATAGCACGAAGAGGCCGATGTCCTCTGGGAACTGGCTGTTGCAACGCTGCACTAGTTCGCAGAGCTCTTCAGAGGTGTTGACACTAGGACCGGGAGATATTGATCCATTCTTAGCGAGCTCCAGAAGGACGTGGGACTTTTCGGCAACTTCGGCCTTGGAAGACTTCATGAGCGAGCTGAACGCGGCTTTGAGGCGGGATTTAGCATCGTCGACAGACGGCGAGAAAGAATTCGCAACCTCTTCAAGCCCTTTGGCCTCACTCTCGCCGACCAGTTCGCGCAGGGGTGGAATGCTTGCGAGGAAGTGTGCAATTTCCTTGAGGGGTCGGAAACCACAAAGGCCTTCAAATGGGGTGATGGCAAGCGTCATTTCAGGCTTATGGTTGTCATCGGGATAGTTCTTTGGGTCTTTGGCGTGAAGCTTCTCGGCGAGCTTCTTGTTGGGATGGGCTTGAATGGACAATGCCTTGTTGATAGACAGGACCTTGAAGAGAAACGGAAGTTTCTTGTTGTACTTCTCGGTAATGTCACTGCCCATCAGTGCTTGGTTGTCGGCGACAAGGTCGAGGAGAGATCTACCAGTGACGAGGTCTTTGGAGGGTAGAGAAGGGTGTGTGCCCATCCATAGTTCGGCATATGGCTTGTCTTCTTGGACGGAGAAGTTGTCTGAGGGCGTCGCCGCAGCATATCTCGCAGCAGCCGAGTCTTTTCCCTTCTTCCCCCAGTCATAGCTATTGCAGCCTTGAAGAGGTCAATATCTCGGCGATCACAGAGAGAGAGATTTGCTCATACCGCATTGGAGCCGAATCAAAGGAACCTGCATGATGACTGGTCTCAACCCAATCTAGATCTTTTGTTTGCTGAAACTTGATGACGTCCTCTAAACGGGACAAAGCCAGGAGGAAGTGTCTGTATGACTTGGAGGCTCTGGACTTTAAGGGGGCAACAGTGGGTGAAAGCAATATGGCGGTGAAAGAAGACAAAAGTGGCTTGAGGACAGATCCACTTGATATTGAAGATGGTGTTCGACTTTCAGGGCAACGTGGTTGGTCAATCTGATAGAATTGGCCAGACTTTTGACGGTTGTGGATGTTTGAGAAATGACGCATCCCGCAATAGGTGCTCTGCCGTATAAAATGCGCTTTTGGGCGCAAATACGCATCCGTAGTCATCCTTCCCGCTAGAGGAGCCCGCCGTGGCGCCAACCAATCATGCCTCCGTCCCTCATTCTACATGTTCTTGACCATCGCATCCCATATATTGCGAATCGCACATTTGTCTGATCTCTTCATCTCTATATTGCAAACATAATCTACAGTCTGTATTTTAGTACCACCTACCAAGAGGCAGCCTTTGTGGTTCGGCGGCAAACGGGTTTGCGCCTGCCACTAAGTTAGTTCTACAGAGCGGCTAGGGGCTGGTCATCTTGTTCAAACACGGTGACACAGCCTTCTCTCCTTCCGGGACCGGAGATATCCTTCACCTACGCTGTTACAAGGCCATCTGACGCCACGATCTGGTGCGCACAACGTGTTTGAGTTCGATATGTCCTCCCGTCCGCGAGGAGGTCGCGCGACAGCTGGTCGAGATGGAAAGGAGACCGAACTCGAAAACGATCTACTCACTAGAGCCCTTGAGAGCCTACGCAAAGCCAGAGAGTTCAACGAAAAATGCAAAAGAATTGGGCAAGATATTATGGCCCTCGAGGACGAGATCAAGGCAGCCGGACGTATGTCGACCCTGTCCCCCTTTCAGGTTTGCTCCTTTCTTTCCTCATTAGGTCCCAAGTCTGGCATCGCTTAAGATTACGACAACGCGAAGGCCGGTCTGTGGCTTTAGACTTGGAACCTAGGAGTGTCTTCAGAACCTGTCGTCAAATCCTTGGTTGAGGTTTAAGCTGACCGTGATCGTTTAGATGGAACTCCCGACCAGTACCGACGTTTAGACGCCCTGTACCGGGACAACCTCAGATATGCGGAAAGCGAGAAGAAAGTTCACGATGACGACGACATTATCAGCAACCTTGCTATCTTGGAGACGATGAGATCCAACGACGAACCGGCCCCTAGGAATGGTCAGCCAAAATCGCGGAAGCATCAGCGGCCTGCGGTTGATTCAGAAGCGCTTGAGTCTCCAGGCCCCAGTCCAGGGGACGGTCGTTTAGAGATGATGAAACGGGTCAAGGGCACCTCGCAACGAAGTTCAAGCACAGCAAGCCAGAATCGAGCAGCCCCAATTGTTAGAGACGACGGGAGCGATCTGTACAAGGGGCTACAGGCTGAGAGGGCTGGCCACCTTGTAGCTGGCACCGAAGTCTTTTACAAATTCCCAAAGGATCAACAAGAGCAAGAAGAAGGAGTGGGTATTCATGGTATCATCAACAAAGTCTGGCAGGAGAAGAAACCGTGAGTGGAAGCACTGCCCTCCCCAAAACTTGTCGCTGACTTTCCACAGGATACAATACGATGTTAGAGACCCCGAGGATGACGCTTCTGGCAAACAGACGGTGCGCAAGGCGACAGCCAGAGATCTGGTGCCCATTCCTCAGGTTGCCCCGAGCACTCAACAGTTCTCGGTCGGAGTGACTGTTTACGCTAAATACCCAGATACCGATACCTTCTACCGCGCCAAGGTCAAGAGCTTCCAGAAACCCAACTACAGTTTGAAATTTGACGAGGATGTACAAGAGATGCTCGTCGATGCACGGTTTGTCCTACCTGCTGGGGTAAAGTAGTACAACCAAGAGATCACACCCAGGAACACGTTTAATCTGGGTGAGGCCGTGGAGGATGAACCAGATGAGAATTGGGGGCGGACACGTCGTGAGCGGCAAAATGTTTCTCGATTGATGAGTGCCATGTATAATTGACCATCCATACTACGGTCACAGTTCGTGTTTGCTGGCCAGGTAGGCAGCGCCACTGTCTGCGCGTTGTCAGTAATCCATAGCTGGATCCCGGAGACAGAATCTTGAGGCAACTTCAGCTGCACCACTGATACAGGCATCTATCTGGCCGGGGAACTTACCCGCCCATATCTCGTAAACTTTGACCTTGTATTCCTGATCGAACTCCAGGACGTAGGTGAATACCTCGTCCCACGATTGACCAGTCTCGGTCCACGTGAACTTTGCTTCTCCACGAACCGACACCTTTGAGACGAGTGGATCGACCACGAAGTTAGTGAAGCGCATGTTTTCGTATGTCAAGGTGGAAGACAGAAGCCCAAAGTACTCTTGCAGGCCCTTGTGGCCTCGAAACTCGCGGCCGAGGAAGGGCGCCAGTTGCGGCAGGCCATGCTCTAGGGCAAGGACATCGTCGGAACTAGAGAAGTGGCTGAAGATCTTGTCTGGCGCCTCTTTGCGAGCGAATGAGTTGCAAAACGCCTGGGCGGCAGACAGGAGGGTATCTCGATCTGGGGCAGGGGAGGGCATCCTTTTCTCGACCGATAATTATGTTCGAGAGGCGCTGTTCTTACTTGGGGGACTTGTGGACCAGGTGATGTAGGTACGTTTTGGTGCTTACCCAATCTCATTCGGCGACTGACCAAGCAGCAAAGCTGGAATTGACGGCGAAGGACGGGGCTCAACAAGGCGTGACGGGAATTGACAGGCGCACAAGTGTGGAAAATGAAGTGCGGAGGAGAGGCCGAGGCCTGGGATTTGGCTTTCGTCAGCGAATTTCTCGTTTCTCTCCGCTTCTACTCGACCTGCGTTAAGTGCCACCCTCCTCCCTCATCTTCCGCCCAAGCATAAACTCAACTCAACTCTTTCAATGGTCCTTTCCTCCGCTCCCCAGTTATAGAGACACTATGCTTCTCTCTTAAGTTATAGAGAAACGAAAGATTGCATTGGATATTGAAGCCGGAAGACGTTGCCCCCCCTCTTCCCCCACCATGGCTCGCCCGGTCAATGAGCTTCCCTCGCATGCGTCCCCCGTTATATCGCCCGTGCCTCGGCCTTCGTCCTCATACTTGGGCGGCTGGTCCGACCTCGACGACAATGCTCCTCCTACGCCTGGCCTACCTAACAACCTGATATCCCCTGCATTCACTCCTCCCGCTACTCCCGGGGCTGGGACCCCATCCCGCCATCTTCAGTCTGAGCCCAGGTCCATTCCCGTTGATACTTCTCTCGACGACCCTTCGGCAAAACAACCCCGCCTCCTCGAGAGACTACCAAACGTAGAATGCCTGGTTCGAGCGCGGATACCGACCACCTCTGGCGCCGAGATGTTCCTCCATCTGTATCAAAATGACTCAGATAACAAGGAGCACTTGGCGATTGTCTTTGGCAACAACATCCGCAGTCGCAGCTTGGATGCTGAGAAGCCCGGAGAAACGGAGATGGATCGCATGATTCGTGGCGCTTATGTTGGAAGATTGAGGCCAGGTCGAACAAGTTCGAGAATAGATCCCACGGAACAGGGCAAGAGGCCCTTCAATAAACGGCACAGAAGTGGCTCCGCGTTGAAAAATGTGATAACGGTCCCAGAGGACGGCGTTCTCGATATGGCAACCTCAGACGGTGCTGTTAAGGCCTCGAATACTTCTCAAGAAGAACAAAACTCAGAAAACCCCCATCATCCTATCGCCAGCCTGGGTGATGTCCTTGACAAGGTACAAGTGACTAGCCAATCTCCCGGCAAACCACCTCTTGTTCGAATCCATTCGGAATGCTACACAGGCGAGACAGCCTGGTCCGCCCGGTGCGACTGTGGAGAACAACTCGACGAGGCAGCCCGGTTGATGTCCTTGCCTGGCTCTACGGGTGGTGTCATCGTCTACCTTCGGCAAGAGGGACGAGGAATCGGTCTCGCATCAAAATTAAAAGCGTATAACCTGCAGGATTTGGGTAATGATACTGTTGAAGCAAATTTGTTGCTAAGGCATCCGGCCGATGCGAGGACTTATGGGCTTGCCACGGCGATACTGCAAGATCTCGGACTTGGCACCGATAGTGATGCGCAGAAACCCGAAGCAGAGAGGGGCATCAGGCTTCTCACCAACAATCCCGATAAAGTACGAGCGGTTGAAGGCCCCGGAAAGGAGGTCCGAGTGAGGGAACGGGTACCCATGATCCCTCTTGCGTGGAGAACGGCTGGCGCCAAGGGTGTCCGAGGTGCGGAAATTGAGAAATATCTCGAGACCAAAATCGGAAGAATGGGACATATGATTCATGAGGAGTCCTAGAAGAACAGGGGGGGAAGTGGATTGCGATTCAGACCCTGGAGAAAATTTCCTCGTGCAGACAAGGTCACCCGGGTGCCGGATTTGACTGGCAATTTCTGAGGGCCATAAGGGACTGACAGCAACATCATCACTCATGTGGTCGACTCCGCTCCTTTGATACGAGGATGGGACCGGAACACGCCCAGACAAGAACCGAAGTAAGATGCTTTGCAGAGCGACGCCGGCTGGAATATCCAGGCACTCTCGGTTAGAAGAAGGTTTACCATGAGAAGCCAATCCACGCCGACACAATTCGCACAAGGAGTATCCAGGAACCGCGACGCGCCCGTGTTGTCCTTGCCCTCGAGTCTGTCGATGCTTTGACTTTCCGAAGCAGCGGCTTAGAAGGACCAGACCAACGACAATGATGTGTCAATCTCATAAACCCGCGGAGAATCAATGCCGCAAAGCATTCTCCTGGCGGGCAATGAGGAGAAGTAGCAAACGAGGAAGACTGGTTCGCGGCTCTAGAACCGAGTTGGATTGAGTTAGATGAGGTGCAAGCGATGGAATGCCTGGATTGCCATACTATACGAGATGAGACGGTACGGTCGAGGCACGTCATGCAGCCTCCATTATCATGGACTCTGTCAAGGCTAGGACTTGGACTTGGACTGGCAAAGGAGAGCGACGATGCATATGCACGACTCACTGACATGTTAGTGCTCACCCACGAGACTTGCAGATTCAAGACTTCTGCAAAAGAGCACGTATATATAATATATATACACATATACTTATATCCAGCGCGAAAAGGGGTTTATCATGCAAGGACCAGGGCAAGAGATGGACATATGCATCCATCCACACACAAAATACACCAAAGATGTATATAATATAATATACAGTACAGCACTACAGTAGTATCTCCCCTGATTACACTTTGGATACATCATGATGATGTATTTTGTATGTTTTTTTCACGATTGACAACCTCCTCACCAGCGACAAGGGATGGAGTACATATATGAGTTTTCAGGTTCCTAGAGAGATGTACCTACGCAGGTAGGTAAATATGTATGTAGGTCCAGACCGAACTCGTCCTTGTGTAACTTGTGACTTTTTTTACATGGTATCCTTGTATCCTTGTACCCGGATTTTGGAACCTAGCGTAGAAAAGTAGAGAGAAATACATCACCAGATACCCAACCACAGTTTCCTCTTCCGCTGCTGTTGCGGCTGCTGCGGCGATGATTGCTGGATAATGTCGTCCTGAATCTCCTGGCTTTGGGTGCGGAGCACGTCTTGCACACTCACGCCTCTGGCTCTCGCTTCGGCCTCGGCCCTGACCACGGCATCCACGCCCTTTTCCTTGATCAGCCTGACGCGGTCTGCCTGCTCCGTCTCCAGCTTGCGGGTGAATTCGTCGACATCGTCCTCTGCCGATGCAGCTCCAGCTCCGAGCACGCCTCCAGAACTACCCGCCACGTCGCCGCCGAGGGCAATGACATCGGCGCCCGTGAGGACCATGTCGCGGCCGCCCTTCTCGCGCTCCTTGGCCGTCAGGCCGTCGTCCCAGGGCACCAGTCCCCGCACGTCAATGCCCTGGTCCTCGTCGGCGTTGAGGTCCTCGAGGCCGTGCGCGCGGCGGTACAGCCTGCGTTTCTGGGCGTCGAGGATCTTTTGCTGGCGGGACTCGTTCGTCTTGGCCGTCTCGTAGTCGATGTGCAGGCGCACGACCGACAGCGTCTCACGCACGTAGGTGATGGGGTGGAGGGGCAACGAGGAGATCGGCGGGATCAGGTGTGCGTAGGGCGATGTCCGCATGAACGACTGCGTAAAGGTGATGCAGGCGAGGATGGTGAGGGTGCCCTAAATTCGAGTCAACGTAAGAACAATAAAGGCAATCATCATCCCCCCCTCCCCTCAAACTATCCCTCTCCTTGCTTTCGAGCGAGACAAGAGGGAAAAAAAAATACTCACCATCGTGATCCACAGATGAATCCACCGATCCGTCAAGAACCAGTGCATAAAGGAGCCCTTGTTGGGGAACATGTGCGGGTACGACTTGCTCTTCTGCCTCTCCTTCTCCTCCGTGGTCGCGCCCTGGTTGTACGCCGCGGGCGACCGACGCGGACGACCCAGCCGCGCGGGATGCGAGGGCGGCCGGAACTTATCGGGCTGCTCGAGCACGATGGGCTTTCTGCCGCTGCTGGCGCCATCTGTTGTCGACGATGAGGCGGCTCGGCGCGCAGTGAGAGGGGAAGGAGGAGTACGAGGCGGCTGGAGTCGAGTAAATCTGGGGGAGAGCTGGTCGCGCAGGGCGTTGCGGAGGCACTGCCGGCACATTGTGAGAGACATCGTCTTCGACAGAGGATTCACCCTCTGAACGGGATTCATCGTGACAGAGACAAGCTTTGGGACAAATATAGAGCTTCGGGTCGATCGTGCCAGGAGAACAATCGCAGTGACCAGCTAAGCTACCAAGGCTACCTTGGGTGAAGGTGATCACAACGCGAAACTCGGTGGGATGAGCGGACAGCTTTTTGCTGGATGAAGGTCAAAGAATAGTCTATATGGGGAAGCCGAACTTTAGCCGCCAACACCTTTTCTCCACCCCATCAAAGACTTATAGTACAAAGTACCTCGTACTCCGTACACACCAGAGAACCACAAACAGCTTCACATGTCGATTCCATTGATATTCTAGAAGTCATATGATATGTCTTCGCGACCGCGGATCAGCGCCATCTTCCTATGCCAACCACCAAGTCCAAAGCCCAGCAATTCTCTAAACCTTTAATCCCGACATCGCCCCTCTCATCTGGCCCATACATATGATGGTAGCAGTACCTATGTAGCTGTACAGTTCTCTCTTTCGAGCACAGTTAACAAATGAAAAGTCTGTCGCTGTCCTAGTCGACAATGCCAAAATATCCCTGGCACAAATCAAAAATGCAGCCCATACAAAAAGAAAAGACTTCACTTCCTTGGCTAACTCTCATGACACCTCGAGACAAAAAGCATGCCAATGCCACCGAGACCCAGGGATAACCGGGTCGGCCAGTTCGCGAAGAGGGACGAATCTAAAAACAGACACCCAACATGGTGGACACTCTTCTTGAAAACACCTTTGACCTTTTGTGGCCCTGCGCCTTTGTGCATTGGGATTCCCAAAAAAGCCCCCAATATTACCGTGCGCACGAAATTGCGCTCGTGCGATGCACACACCTTTCTCTTTTCGTACAGGATATCAAATAACAGTATATCGTTGTGAGATATTCAGAACAGAAACTTTGGTTATCTGAACGAGCGTGGTAGGTCGGCAAAGGAGCCAATATCTTCATTTATCGAAACATCTGTCCGGCTGCAAAAATGCTGTTGGCAGCCGCAGATGCCCATTCGTTCTCCTCGTATGGCGGCGTGGGCCAGTGTGAAGGAGCGTGTTCATACTCGTTACGTTTCTTGGTGATGTTCAACGGCTCAGCTTGAGATCCAGCGTCGGAGCTAAACTGAACACCATTCCTCTTGGCAGATGGTGATGGCGTCAGGTACGCGCCGTGTAATGCTGGATTGCTGGGTAATTGTGGTAATGACTGACGGTTATAGTCCTTTTGCGCCAATGCGGTACGTTGGGCCTGGTCTTTTGGGTAGATGGTAGTTTGATCCAGGCGCCGAACCGCCCGATGAGCGGACCGGAGAGCTTCATCCAACAGCTCGTCAGCCTCCTCGGGAGTTTCGTACTGGTTAATCTGTAAAGGACGACGTGTCCGATTGTTTGGGGGAGCAGGCACCTGAGAAACATTCTCACTTGATCTGCTGCCTTGTGATCTCGGGACGGAGTGTGTCCGTTTCAGGGTGCCTGAGTTGGATACCACTTCGGTGGATGATTTTCTGTGTAGGCAGTCCGGTTCGGCGCGATCAAGACTGTACCGAACATTCTGTAGGATTTTGTCAAGGTCTGAAAAGTCGTTGTTTCCCTCGGGAATGACGCTGTCGACCATGAGCGAAGATCGGTTCGACCACGGGACATTCGCGGCGTTGGCCTCAACATCGTCGCCATTGGGAGATGCCAATCCATGTCGGCCGGAAAATCGTCTTGCCCGTTTCCGGAGATGGGAAAAGAAGCTCTCTTTGTGACCGCTGGGTGGGGACACGAGTCCACTATTGGCATTCAAAGCCCGTTCTGCTTCCTGGCGATGGATGTCGGCATAATGATTACCATTCGAATTGACGGATAGTTGCCGGCCAATTTTCTTTGATTTCTCCTCGACTGGTTTAGACGAGTTGGGCTTCGACTCTGGCTGCGATGTGAATGTCGAATTTGCTTGGGCAGTAACAGCGTTGGGTAAGGGAGAGATGGGGCGAATTGAGGGTAGGATGGGCATTGGTGCAGCACCAGTTGAACTCGGCCCATTGGTCCACGTCGTCCGTTTACTCGCTTGTGGTCGAAGTCTGCTGACCAAGCTCTCGGGTTCTTGTTGTGTAACCTTGGATTCCGAACTGTGTTGGGGTACGGCGGGTGCGCTCTCACGAGCAATAAGCGATCTTCGGAACCACGAGGGTTTGGATGTAATGGTGGGTGTTTCGGCCGCGTCCTTTGACCTGAAACTCAGGTCAGAGTGCTTCCGCCCGAGCAGGCGTGACGAGGACTTGGGTCGAAGAGGATCTACGGCATCGAGGAAGAATTCGTGCTCCATAGCTTGTTTCGTCGTTGGGCGGTTCTTAGGATCCCACATCAGACACCAGGTCACAAAATTGCTGAATGCCGCAGGCCATTGAGGCGCTTGTAAAATGGTTTCCATCGCATGGGGGGCCATCTGTGAGGAGTTAGTGACTTAGCCACGCCTTAGCATTTGGGATTAAATCACCTTTGGGAAAGAGAAGCACAATTTTTGAGCCAACTTATTGCCGTCTCTCCATTCACCGCCCCCAACCCTAGTACCGTTCTTGGTATACCAGTTCCCTGGACTGCCCATAACTTCACAAATTCGCCAAACCTGGTCGACCTCGTTGCCTCCTGGAAAGAGAGGTTTGAGTGTAGCCACTTCAACTGCCATTGCCCCAATAGCCCAGATATCCACTGGAGCAGAGTATTCGCCAGCTCGAAGTAACACTTCGGGAGCTCGGTACCATCGAGTTGAGACGTATGTGGTATAGGGCAACTTGGAGTGTGTTTCTCGAGCCAACCCAAAGTCGGCTATCTTGATGGAATAAGTTGGCGGTGTAGCTGGTGGAGTGACCAAAGAGGAGTATCTGCTGAACGCTGACTGGGAGTCGTGAGGTGCAGAAGTGGAGACAAGGATATTTTCTGGTTTGATGTCGCGGTGAAAGAAATTGTGAGCATGGATATGGTCGAGACCTGAAAGGATCTGGTATAGTATACTCTTGACACTTTTGGCGTCCATGCATTTATGTTCCCGGGATTTCATCAGTTGATACAAGTTACCATCCATGTACTCCATGCAGATGTGAAGTTTCTTGCTGAAGGGATCCAAGAAAATGTCCAATGCCGGCACCAGATGAGCATGGGCCGGGAGTGTTCGTAGAAATATGACCTCGCGGAGTTCTAGGCACGGTGCAAAGGAGTCGAATGTCTTCTTCATGGTTTTGATGGCGACCTAGAGGAAATCAGCTGGGTGTCCTCGCAGGACAAGACAAGAATCAAAGCATACCATGGAGTTCCTGCGAGCCACATTGGCACCGTTCGCTCTCACTCTTGCCAGCGCCACGCTTCCAAAACTTCCATCTCCAATTTCCTTGATCACTTCGAACCTGTCTTCGAGTGCGGCCAATGCATAAGAGTTAGGCCTCAGGCCATATTCCGTGACAGCCATGGTGGTCGAGTGAGTTCGTTAGGGCAGGACGGGCTCTTCCTCTGTCGCTTTGTCGGGTGTCGTAGAATGTATGGGACGAGTGTATCTTATTCAGGCTGCCCTGGCGCCCATAGATGGGTTTCTCTGAGACCTCAACACGTCATTTCCTGGCTGTTTCGTGTGTTTCTGTACATGTGTTTCAGGGTACAGGGTAGAAGAGGGGGTCGGAGGTCTCGTTTGGCTTGTTCGTGCTGTTGCTTGAAGCTGGTCAGGTTGCAGCTACGCCAGCTCGGTGCAGAGCAGGAGGGTAAATGATGATCGAGCTCGAGCTTCAAGAAGATGATGCTCAGGGCCAGAGGACCCAGGACCCAATTCGAAATCGCTCGAGGGAACTAAGGGAACTAGCTAGAGGAATGGTCGATTGGCGGATGCCGACCCGCAAGGGGCGTTGGGAAAGTGGATAGACAGCGTCTTCCCCTTTCTTGGTTGACACGAAGGGGGGGTGGGTGATGGTCACAGTCTAGTATCAAAGGAGGGCAGGTCAAGGTGACAGACTGTACTGGTAATTCGGACGTGTTGTCGATGTGCTCGGACAATTAATTGGCGATGTGGGAGGCGCGTCTTGACTGTGTCGGGATGGCAAGGGGGGGTGGGGAGTGGAAAGGGAGAGGCACGGAGGTTCAGAGGCCTTCGCAGCAAGGGTCATACAAGTAACTGGGATGCAAAATTGCGCTGACAGAGCCCAGGATTTCCGTGCCTTTGCAACATCGGACAGGCAAAGGAGAAATGAGAAGTATGTGATTACCGGTATTGTTGAGTGAGATGGCTTGAGAAGGGTGGTTGTTGTTCCTACGAAAGGGGAGAAACACCAAATAGTGACGGTGGGTGACAAGCGAGACGAGGTGGTACTGGCGCCGTGTCAGCACTGAATGCCATACAGACAAGGCTCCAAGGTTTGGGAAGAGTGAGGACTTTCCGGCACTGTGGCATCTGGGGGGAAGAAGAGAGTGGAGGGGGGCGCGGCCCTTTCCCTTTGCATTGATGCAAGCCTCTGGTGCCGTCCGTCACTCAGGGAAGCAGCTTAAAGTAGGCAAGCCCCATGCAAGCCTTGGTTTTTAGTTGAGGGCTAGCCACACGGCCACGGGGCCACAGGGATAGGCCGACGGGATCCCTGGATGGCCGGCGACAGGTTTGGGCGAGGATGGTCAGGTTGATCAGGCACAAACCGTCCCCTAGCACCCGTCCCTAGCTGCTTAGAGATGGCCTAGCACGCTTAGCAGGCCGGGTTGCCTCCCAACTCCGACCTCTGGCAGCTCCTCTTCTCAGCCTCGGAACCCCATTCCTGTGCGCTGGCCCCCCATTGCTCCCCAAAGGTCTCAACTCCCAAGCCGACAACCTGAATGACCTTCACCGGGGGCGGCGGATGACGGATCTTGTCGTCCACTGATATTTCGTCTTTTTTTCCATTCGACTCCGGTGAGCTAATAGTCCAATCTACAAGGGTGTTTGCTGGTGGTGCTGTAATGAAATAAATGCATTCCTCCTGAAAATCTTGACCCGAGAGAAGGAAAGGTAACCTTCTCATCCACCTGTGATAATGTCAGGATACCGAGTAGTATTGGTATGTACCAAGTACCCACAAGTGGTTAATGTGCTCCGTACATTACCGGACGCTTTTTCTTTGCAGTTGGAGTGTCTCTCTAGGTTCCTCGTACCTACACCGCCCGTCGTCTGCTTCTACTTCTGCGGTGAGAAGGATGGGAAGCGAAGCGTGTTACGAGTAAGTGCTGCTGCATAGCGTGTGCTTTTCTTGGGCTCCTCTTCAACGATATCAAATCACCGCCATCTCAACAAGTCAGGAGAATCACAGGAGAGGAGAGACGGGAGGCTTGATGTCTCACCGCGCGAGAGACGCCTTGACTGATTAAATTGATTCATTTCTGTACTTGGTATTGGCTGGAGAAGTCTTCCACAAAGCCACCATCTTCTTGATACTCTGGTGTTCATGACGCTTTGGCATGTACCTCGTACCTTGTCCAGTTTATGCTTTTGAAAGAGATGTACGAGGTACACGAGTGATGGTACAACTTTCTGTGCGTTTGCTGTACCTGGTCCTAATGGGCCCGGACTGCAGGTACCGAGCTCAAGTGGCAAAATACCAAGGTTGAATCCAGGATCCAGATCCAGGAGAAGCAAGTTGTTGTTGGTGCTGTATTTCTATTCCACCTATCGCTGACATTCTTCCCTCCGCGCCCTTCAATTGGCAGCAGCAGCAGCAGCGACAACATCGACAGGGCAACCAACGCGAAGATACCTGGATAGAGACCATCAGTCGAATAATGCCACGTTTCTTAGAGATGCAACCAGGGGTGTCGAGTTGGCTGACTTCGCTGCCACAGCTTGGGCTAAAAGCGTCATGACCATTATTAACCACTGGTTCCTGGCCTCAAGGGTGGCAGGATGATGCCAAAAACAGGTTTAGGCTCACCTCTGTCTCTTGATATCCTCTGTCCGACTCGCTACAAGTCTTGAACAAGGATCGGGGCGTCGCTGGTGCCGGCCAATGGTGCCGATCAAATCTCGAATTCTCCATTCATTGGCTTGGTCTCTGCCCATTTTTCGATAGCTCCGGGCTAGAAATCCAAATTTTCAAAAGACACACTCTCCGACCGTGTGCCTGGCCCCCTAGCTTGTTCCACCTGGAACAAAACATAATGGGAATGAAATCACGATGGAGTGGCAGCCAAAACTTTGGTTCCCAACACCAGTGTTCCCCGCGAGAAGCTAATGAAGTGGATTCTTGATTTGTTCTGGAACCAGGAGAGTCGAAACTGTCGTGATACAAAGTCCTTGCAAGTCACAAACTTGGAGATGATGCCCATTACATAACCGTTGATCCCAGATGAAATTGCAAAGGAGTCGATAGAGAGACCGCCAGTCCCAGCTTACTCGTACAGGGAGAGTGCTGCGAGCTCAGGATGAGGTGTCCAAGGCACAATCCAGAAGTCGTCAAAGAATAAGTACTAGTTTAGTATTGTGCAACAACATGCAAAGAGTGGTTGGTCGGTCATCAATGCATACGAGGTACCTCGTACCTATAGCAGTAAGTCTTTGTGTTGTGCACTTTACTTCTTCTTGTGCAACTCATCATCAGCGTGGTAAGAAAAGGACCCAAAAACTTCAGTCAACTCACCACATTCTTCTGCCGTTACAACAGAATAACCTCGTGTATGCAGGTCGTTCTCATCTGGGCCACATGTACAGATTTTGTTGAGTCATTTGGCGCACGTGTGTGCGACTTCCTGTGGTTGAAGTTGGTGCCTGCATCTTGCCAAGAAGCCTCAACCTACACATCCGGAAATACCTTCAAGTGACAGGCAGTGGTAAGAGACTTCTCACTTGAGGCGCCTTCATTACTCCACCCTCTACGGCTGAGTACCTCAGAGACAAAGAGAAGGTGGTCAAGTTGACAGGTTGACATTGCATGTAGCCGGCGGTCAAAGTGTCAAATTGTTTGACAATCACAAAAGTATTGCCATCTACTATCAAATTACTGGAAGAGGTTTAGAGCGACTTTGGTTTTGGCAATCATCCGTGTGAAAGACATTCTGTATAAATGCCAAACTCTGGCCAGCGGTGACTGGAATTAATTTGAAATATCTAGAGCTGGTCAAGGAAGTATTCGAATTAGTTACGGTGCACTGTTCTTCACCTCAGCCTCACCTTTTCGTCTACCTCACCTTCCGATCCGAGGCACCTGCCGTCCCTTCCAAGTCTCCTTCAATCATGCCTCAGAAGCAGCGACCTCGTTGGGAACGCAAACAGCAATCGTAAGCTGCCTCACTGCTCACTTCCTTTCATCATCTCTTCCACTTGTCCAAACATATTTCCCCATCACCCCATCGGTCAATCTCAACCACGATGGCCGCTATTAATTACCAAAACAGGTATGCGAATGTCGAGATCGGGAACTTGTAAGTGAGCATTCCTCCCATTGTCTCATCACAGCTCACGCTCAGATACAGAATTCCTTGCCTGGTCTGCAACGTCAAATGCTTCAAAGCAAGATACTCCCAGAACCAGCTGGCCAAATATCAAGAAGCCCTTGCGAAGGAGCTCCACGGCGGGCCCAAGGCCAAGCTCCCCCGCTGCAGGAACTGCACACCAGAGTCCACGGCCGAATTGTTCTGCACTGGCTGTCGATTGACCAAGGACTTGAGCTTCTTCTCCAAGCAGCAGCGAAAGAAACCGGATGAAGCGGTAAGACAAGACAAGATCACAACTCGCTACACTGCTGACCTCCGCCAATCAGAGATGCTTGAACTGCCAGCAGGAGCTTGAGGATCGTGTGCCTTCCCTCGACGCCGCCTTGGAGGAAGAACGCATCAGAGACGATGAAATCCGCAGCAGGCACATGTCAGGCTCTGTGATCTCGGGCATTGCTGGTTCCGTTGCCGGCTCCCAATCTCAATCGCAAGCACAGTCAGCTAGTTCCAGTGGAATCTTCATGCCTGACGACCGAGACTCTGCCTGGGGAGGTAACCGAGCATCTGACCGTCCTACGTCGCCCACCAGCACTGAGCTTTCCAGCTCCCGCAGCGCTACCAGCTACACCACTTCCGTCGGTTCCAATTCAGTTTCCAAGAACAGCTTCGCCAAATCACCTGCATACTACGCACCAGCAAAAGCACGAGTCATGTACCAGCTTGAACGCGAGGAGAGGCAGAAGCAGGAAGCTCAGATGGGCAATAGATATGATGATTCTGATGATGATGACGAATGGGAAATGTGACGGATACGATTCATGAAATGATATCGGGATGCGGCGTGAACTGTGCGGGCTCATCATACGACGCTCCCTCTTGCCCGGAAGACATGCTTGGTTGCACGGATCGACGAGAGTTTGCGAGACCAGGGAATCTGGGAGAAAACGGAGTACGTGGAAGCGAACTTTGAGGGCATCCATAGTTGCATGTCTTAGCGCGCAACACGAAGCAGCCTCAAGAGAGTGTGGTGTTCTCACCCTTGCACTTTTGGCTTCTCAAGCACGCGTTCCGGCGAAGGGGTTTCCTACTGTGAGTCGCAATCTGTTTCAATGCTTAGACTTGGAGCTACAAATCTGGCTTTACTTTCAGGTGCGCTTCTACTGCTGGCCCATGGGATCCGAGCAAGTCGTAGCGTTCAGTTTTCCACGGCTAGAGAGGCAACGCGATAAATGAGTGGGATTTCCGAGCGAACTCCAAGGGCTGATAAGAATGGTGAATGAGCCGCAAACGCCCAGACAAATGAGGCATTGACCATTCAGTCTAGGATGATGCATGTTTGTCCTAGGACACCCTGAGTTTCTTCTTCTGATCCAATCCGGTAGAGGAACGATTCGCAAGGCAGGGTCTCGCAGGTCATGCGATGAGGTTCCATGGTTCGCAGTCCATGTCTAGCGTTAGTTATCCCCGGTCGCCTCTGCATATCGGCAAGTAATGAAGGTGTCGTATGATTTGCGGATATCTTTCAGGGCGGTAGCCTAGCTTCTATCGGATGGTTCGGACTTTGAGCGACTAAGAAACAGGGCGCAAAGGAGCATCACGGTTGTACAAAGGGTCTGCTTGTGGCTCCCACCTGTGGGCCGCGAGGAGGGGGGATATCCAAGGGTGATGTCGTTGAAGAAACCCTGCTAGAAAGTGGTGTGGTTGGACCTTGACGTCGGATTGGAGATTGATATTGGTAGAAGAGGGCAACGAGAAGAAAGAACGCGGCCGGGGACCATAGAGCCAGGGCAACATGTCGGACTGTTGTTTTCGATGACGTTGACAATTTGAACCCCTTGATCCCTATTTGGGTATTCCTTGTCGTGTTGTGAGGGTCGTCGTGTCTCCTGCGCAGGTGGGACGTTCGTAACCACCCCTTGGGAGGTTCATTCACCTCTGGGTCTCTCGGCTCGCCCCATCAAGATCTGATCGTGGCACAGTCTTCAGGGTCAAAACTATATTTGTACTGGCAGACAGGCCAAAAACCAGATTTTGTGTGCAAGGAATGCATCGCCGCTCGTGGCTAGGCGAACCTCGGAAGAAGGGGAGGTTCATTGGAAAAAGTACGATGACGAGCTGTTGAGTGGTGGGGTTGCTGAGCGGGAGAACAGTGATGGCGGGCTGGAACCAAGATTTTGGGGGCCTCTTCTGCCACCTTAGGTACTCGTACAGCCACCGTGAACCACCCATCTTTCTGCGTGGCTCCCGAGGCCAAGGGGCTCACTAGGCCCCAGGGACGCCCTACTAGTGGCCTACTCCCACCTATCTGGATGGAGCATCCCGCCAATCCCCTTTCACCGGTTGTGAACCAGCTGGAATAGTATTGCGCTGCCCATGATGCAACACACCACTTCGCGCATCATTGACTGTCACAGTTAAGCGTCGACCCTTTCTCTAGCCACACCTGTTGCGAAGTATCAGTAGTTGTCTAGGTATGCCCATGCCACGCTCTCCTCGAGGCTTGGTCTCGGCTCGCTTTCTCTCAGTCGTAACTCACTTTGAATTCTTAAACATCTCCACCTCATGATTGTACTGCCATCTTCCCCGACGCCTTGAAACGCACCCTCTGAACAGTTCTCGTATTCTCTCGACGGACAAAGAACAGAAGAAAAGAGGAAAGAACTTGACAACACGCAGATTCTAGGCTGCTTTCACACCATAGACCAAGAAGCGAAGCACGACCTACATCCTTTCCATAACGCCGAACCCTCCCCCAACGCTAGACTCGGCCTCAGCAGCATCACTTCTGCCTCCTGTCCCCCACTGATGAGCACGTAACGCCCTTGTCCTTTCACAATCGACGTCCGCCTGCCTCTCTTCTCGTCCCACCTTGACCGGTCTGTTAGTGGGCTCGCAGGCTGGATTCTGAATATCCACCCAGTCGAGCGACCGCAACCGCCTTGAGGCTGGTCAGAACGCGAATCCCATATAGTCTGTCATCGGTGAAGCTGTGGAAAGCTTCCAAATCCCCTGGCTCTTTCTCAATCGATTTGGAAAACATACTCCCACAAACCTGTTGAACAAGGTCATCTGAATGCTTTGAGGAACGGAAACCAGGTCTTGGAACGGGACCGTGCCTCCCTCGCACAATGGCCTCCTACAATGAACGTCTACCAGCACAGCCCAGCGTTTCTGTTCCGAGTGACGAGGGAGACACGCGGCGACTTCATCCAACTATGAGCAATTCAACAGCTGAGGATGGGCGCCACCGCAGGCTATCCGGGGCGTCATCGACTTCTCAACACGCACCAAACAATCTTGATTCATCCAGATATCACCAAGCTCGCCAGCCTATAACTGATGCTGTCAACTCAGCCTTCAACGACGCTGATGCCGCTTCTTATGGTGGTTTCTCTCCAGACCTGCTCCAACAGATTACATCGCAGATTACGGCGAATGTTTTGCAGCAACTGAAAGTCGCCAATCTACCTCCACCGCAACCTCCTATTCACCAACCACCACCCTCGACTTCTCAAATGGATACCTCTTCATCTGTCGCTGGCTCTCCGCCATTGGATCGAGCGACTGTCTACACTCCCCCTACTCCCAACCGATACTCCGAGGAGGCAAACGCAAGTCAGGCCTCCCCTCAGTTTCCTCCGCCTTCGAGTCAATCATCATTCCGCGCCCCGTCGCCAGGTACAGATAGGAGAGCGGCCTCGCCTCTGAGTCAGACCGGTCATCAGTCCGAGAACGACGCAAGCCAGACTCGACCGAGAGGTCCCAAACGCATGGGTACTCATGAAGATGCAACCATAGTGGAACGAGTGTGGGGCCAGCTCTTCACGGAACAAGGTGAAGCTACTCCTCGACTTGGCCAATTCCTACGTGGAATTGCCACGCATCTTATCGAAGACTATGAACCCAAGCACAGTTTGGTCATCACCCCCACCAAATTGCAGAGATACTACGAGGAGACAAAGCTGAGCAATGAGATCTACCCTTGGAAGATCATATTTGATGATAGAACTTCCTCGATATCCCGAATGTTCAGAGAGATCGAATGCCAGCACCATCTTGTCCAAGAGAAGTTGAATGAACGGCCGGACACCCCTGGACTTACACCACGTGGCTTTGAAGCCTGGGCGACATTGCTCTTAAGAGCACACCCCGATCAAGAGTATGAGCGATTGGCAAAGACGGCGCTAGACATGCCCATCAGCAACCCTGATGAGAAGAAAGAGCGGTTTCCAAAAGAACTCTCTAGACGGCTCTTCCCCAAGCACGGTGACACTGAAGTTGCCTATAAGCTACAGAAGGCCATGTCAGCTCATTGCAATATCAGCTTTGCATCTCGCCACAGCAGCACAACGGACTCCACTTCGCGGACTTCGACGTCGACGTCAACAGTGACTGTCGTGGTTGACGATTCGTCCAGCAAAGCGAATTTGAAGCCCCAAGCAGACAGGCTGGACAAAGGCGACAGTGCCGGCATCAATGTCCAACCCAGTCCAGCGTTGTCTCAGGCTGGCATTGAGCGCCAACGGCAGCCGTATGGTACGACGCATCAAGAGAGTGTCAATGGTGACATTGACGAGGAAAGTGCTAACGCCACTCTCACGTCACAACCGATCGAGCGAGAGCGAAAGCCATATGTCGTTGCGCCTGGTGGAGGAAAGAGTTACAATAATATCGACCGACCAGTCGTCGCGTCCGAGACTAAGCCAGGACCTCCGCCACCACCAGTACCCAAGCTCGGGCGCTCAAGCTCTCTCAATGGATCTAGCAAGGTAAACGATAGCTCGAGATCGGGACAGCCACCTGTCGCTCTTCATCAAAGACCACCGCCACCCGTGTCGGAAATTCAAGAGTCTCGCCGTCATCGGTCCAACAGTATCTATCACAGAGACCCTCCCCCATCGGGCCGTAATCGGTCACCATCCATGACGAAAGAAACGGGCAACTCTTCACACATTAGGAGGGGGGATTCAGACGCTTCCTATATGTCTTCTTCCCATCATTCTGACCATCACGACGATGTAAGACGGTACAGGGACTATGAAGCTGGTCGCGAACGTCTGGCCAACGACCGCTACGACGCGGCCAGGATGTCAGCATACGACCCTCGCGACCGTGAACGAGACCGTGACCGGGACCGAGATAACCGACCACGTATGCAATCAGTTTCAAATGTTGGCCTAGGCTTTGTCGATGGCCCACGAAGTCCAACCCTGCGCACTGCTGCAGGATCGGCGTTGTATTCCAGTTCTCTCCCTGGTGGTGCTGCGGATGAAGACTATTACCTGAACCGCGTGCACCCTAGCGCGGGTCCTCCGTACGGGCACAGTCCACCTTCCTCGATCAGCACCGGCTTTCAACCTCCACCTCCACCTCCGCAGACGATGAGGGACTCGTCAAATTCAGTGAACAGAGACTCGGGCTACTCCTCGTACCCAACCAGCGGGGGTTATCCACCCACGAGTTACCGCGATGTACGGTAGGAGTATGACATTTGACGGATCATCAACTTGCAGGGCGGGAAGGCGAGGATGAAATCGGGAAATTTGAGCGCGATAACCGAAGAACCATCACGGCGCGATGAAACTGACCTTTTCCATCTCCATCTGTAACATATTTAACGACTGGTACGATTCAGCTTTCGCTTTCCTTGCGCTCCGTTCTATTCTCGGCGATTTTGGACGATTTCAGCTAGCTGGATGTTTGTCTTCTACTTCTTGATATCCCCGGGCTTTGCTTCTGAGCGATTTCTGTGAGAATGTAAATTAGTGGACGGGTGTATTGGAGATGTACAACTATATGTAGCAGAGCTTTCCAGGATATAAGGCATTCGTTTGGAATTCCTCAGCGCAAATGTGTGGATATGGGTGTCTGGTGAGGTACCATGTATCATCATCAATAGGTCGAATGACAATCAGGATTGTGACTCTATCTCTTGTTGTCTAAATCGAGGGTGATTCAATTCCGGCCTTGTTAGTGTCTGCTTCTCTCGTCATCGACAAAGCTTCCAACACCTATATGCTGTGGATAACATCAACTATGACTTGGTTTTGGATCATAGACTTATAGCGTAGGCCATTGTCGGGGTCCACGAAGAGAAACATCCTGGGAAGAAGCAACTTCGGCGTGGGTTTCAAAAGATAAGGACAGCTTGGAACACGAGTTCGGTACAGGTGGATGATTCGAGGAGGATATGGTGTTTAGTTCTAGACCATCACCGTGTGGTGAGAAAGGAAGCCAGGGCGGCACGGAAGGACGGGACTTGTCTTGTCTGTCACAAGCATGGCACGAAATACTTGACGGGAAAGCGTTATCTGGGGAGGTGCTGTGTGTGGCTTGTTACCTTGTCTGGGCGAAACAAGAAACGTTGTCCTCGATTTGGTAGATCTCCAAGGGCGTCTTAGTCAAGAAGAGGCGAAAGGATATGCATGAAAGATGACGATGTCGGGTGCGGGATGCTCATTCAGCAAGCGTCACTAGCCTCACTGGGCACTTGTGTGCAGCTGGGCCCCGCAAAGCTTGATGGGCATTGGGTGCGATATTGGGCGTGGCTTGGGCGAGCTTGGGGGGTCACCAGGCTGGTGGGCACTACCACTCGGTACACCCAACCAAGATTGTACTTCCCGCCGCACGCCGCTTGGGTCTTCCCATTTCCCATATTTGACTCGCATCGACCATCAGCTGCCCATGGCTTTCCACTCACACCCTCGCCAACAGCCTTTGTTGAGGCTAAAAGAATGTGTTTCCTGGCTCGGGCTGTTTCAATCAGCCTCCGCGATGTCTCCTGCTCTACTACCTCGCTCTGAACTGCTTTTTGTGTCGCGCGCTCAGAGGTTCAGACTATACCGCTGACCCGAGCCCAAATAACTGGCAAACTCGACAGATAGACAGATTCGCGTGTTCCTCGGGTGAGCGAGCCTCTTTCTCTCCATTAGAACCACCCGGACCACCGCTTCCTGCCTCCAATGCACCTCAATCGCCCATGAGGCCCTCCATAACGTTCGCAGACAATGGTAGGCTGCGACCATGCCGAACAACAAGAGCTGGAGCCACCGGAGGTCCCGTCAAGTTCCAGCTCAGGTGCCTCGGAGAGTACGACCGAATATGAGAAACAGAAAGGTTGGGAGCCTTTTGAAAAGACGGACACTATAAGGACACTGCCGGACAACGAGGCCAGACACGGCAAAAACAAGCTGGAACCTCAACCGAGCTGGCAGGCACACCACCATGGCATACTCAAGTTGAGGTCTGTTGACGACGACCTGCCCACCAACTGGTGGTTTGCCTCTACCGCCATCCCGCTGATTGCGGCCACCTTTGCGCCCATGGCTAATCTGATATCCATCACCGCCCTGGTCGTTCCTTGGAGGAATAGACTCACCCAAAGCAAGACTGAGTTTCCTCTGACCTATCAGTCCACTTCCGTGGGCTACACCGATCCTCGATGGTGTGTCGACCTCAATATTGCCTCTCTCGTCTGTGGATTCGTAGGCAACCTTTTCCTTCTCTTCAATTTCACTCGACGCGTCCGATACATTGTCGCTCTACCTGCGACCATTGTGCTCTTCTACATCGCCTCTGGTATACTCATTGGTCTGACCGTGTCGATGAAGCTTCATGTCCCGCCTGGCCAAGATGAAGTTTATTCCCAGGGCTACTGGAACGCCGTCATTGCCGCCTGTCTCTACATGTTCAACTCGATGATTTTGATGGTGAATATGTGCGGCTATTTCCTGGGCCACTATCCTCAGCACTTTACCCTGACCGACGAGCAGCGCAATCTGATTCTCCAGACAATGATGTTCTTTGTATGGCTAGGTGGCGGTGGCGGCGTCTACTCGAGAATCGAAGGCTGGACGTATCCAGATGCCGTGTATTTCTGCGACGTCACCATCCTGACCGTCGGGTTTGGAGACTTTTATCCCACCAACGACCTTGCTCGGGGACTAGTGTTTCCCTACTCGGTAGGCGGGATCATCATTCTGGGTTTGATGGTCAGCTCCATCCACAAGTTCGCTGGTGAGCTTAGTACAATCAACGTACTCCGTAAACATGTCGAACGAAAAAGAGTCCACACCCTATCACGGGTTGTGACGGTGAACGATGGCGAAGAAGACAAGAGACGAGATGATCTAGAAAGAGAGGTGGCAGTGGAGGAAAGAAGCGGTCGGCGGCCACAGATTTCGTCTCCCTTACCAAATCCACAGATCCAGCATGACTTGGATGAAGCAGCGGCGCGTCTCGAGAGAACCACCACTCGAGATTCCACTCAGGATCGCCACATCGAGTTTGGTAACACCAATGCTTCGGAGCTGAAGAAGGCGGAGGAGTCCGAGCCGCACGCCAGACAGTTCCTAAGCTCAGCGATACACAGAGGTCCCATCCGCAGCACCTTCCATTTCATCACAAAACCCTTGCGAGGCTCGAGATCACAGAATAAGGCCATCTTGATGAAGGAAGAGAAGGACAAATTTAATGCCATGCGGAACATTCAGCTTAACGCGAAAAAGTTCAAAAAGTGGTACGCATTGTGTCTGTCGGTGATAGCCTTCGGGATTTTGTGGTGCATCGGAGCGGTGGTGTTTTGGATCGCCGAGCACAACACCCAACATCTCAGCTACTTTCAAGCTTTGTACTTCTGCTATGTCAGCTTGCTGACTATTGGCTATGGCGATTTGAGCCCCAAGAGCAACGCTGGCAAGCCGTTCTTCGTGGTATGGTCGTTGATCGCTGTACCGACTATGACCATCCTCATTTCCGACATGGGTGACACTGTCATCTCGAGTTTCAAGCAGGGAACCTTCAAACTTGGCGACTTGACTGTCCTTCCAAAGGCAGGTCTTTGGCGTGACATTGTCATGCAGCATCCTTGGCTCTGGAACTGGATGAACAGAAGGGCTGAGAAGAAACGTCTGAAGGCGGGGCTGCCTTTCGGTCCGGCCCCCGACGAAGCTCGTCCTGAGTTGAGTATTGAACAGCTGGCTGCCGAGGAACCGACCGAGGCGGAACTGACACAGCGTTTAGCTTGGGCCATTCGCAAGACCGCCGACGATCTCCAACATGCTCCAGGGAAACGCTACACCTATGAAGAGTGGTGTGAATACAGCCGCTTGATCCGATTCACCAAAGTGGGCCTCGATCAAATGGAATATGACGAGGAAACGGACGGAGTGGTTGAATGGGACTGGCTCGAGGAGAACAGTCCTATGCTGAGTGAGCAGAGCGAGGCTGAGTGGATCCTGGACCGGCTTTGCGAGAGTTTACTCCGTTTGCTCAAGAAGAACATGATTGCAAATGGTATCGATCCCAATTCAGCATTGCCTCGGCGGAGCAACACCGATCTTAGTGTCTTCAACTTCAACCGTAGCGGCACTATCTATGAAGACCCGTCGTGGGCCCGGAAGCCTGACTCGTCGGCAAAAGGCAAGGGCCGTGGTGAACCCCATGTTCCAAACCAGTCGCAGGCACGCCAACGAAGGGCATCAGGTGCTGATGCAGTGCTCACATTTTTCACCGGCGACAGAAGGGGTGATCATACATATGCTACCGAAACGCCTCAGTGGAGCACGAGAGCGCAAGAACGGATGAAGGAGCGTCGACGAGGTAGCAAACTCAGGCGAAGGGGGCCATTCAGCAAGCTTGAACACCGCGGAACGACAGGGGCAGTCGGTGGCGGCCGGGGTGGAGCCGGAATTCGCACACTGAAGATGCGACATTTTCGTGGAAACAGGGACGAGCAGGATGACATGCGGATATGAAACGTTTACAACTCGATTGGGTGAGAGGCTGTGAACTCTGTCTTACCACTGTACTATTTATTCTATGGAAGGAAAATTGGAGTGGGAAACTTAAGAGACTTGGGAAAAGGAGTTTTGGATATACAGGACACCACGCGTGAGCCCAAGTAGAAAAAGGAGGTTACCCCTGACCCTTGACTTTTGCAAGAGATGATATTTGCAGCACGTCGCTGGACCAACCGGATACGGGCTGCTGCTACTAACTGATCCCGAATAGCCATGTCGTTGGTCCCAGGCTGATCGGACGAGCATCAATGTGACGCTCTACTGACACAAACGCGTCAAAGAGTTGGATTCGATGGCTCCAGCAGGATCGACCGTCTTGCCAGTGTCAATACTGAATACATACAAGGAGACGAGTCGCTGAAGCAGCCAACGGGGATCAATCCGAAGAGATGAGATGCTTGGGGGTTTGCGATCTCACCGATCCCCGGGGCCATGCATGGGTGTTGTCGATGGAACAAGCTGAATCAGCCCTATACTTCAAGATCAATGTACCCAAGATGACTGGACTAGAATCCAGAGTTGTGTCTCATGCTGGAGTTTGATCGGGTGATTTGCCACACAAAAAGCAGGGGATTGTCATGGGTTGGAATAAAGGACTTTGTATACAGTGCACACACACCAGGATATGGATCTTAGCAGAAAGATATCTGGCGCAGGTTCAGACGGAAAACATTCTCCCG